AAAGAACAGAGGTCGACTTGGGAGTAAGGCCAGATGATGAATGGCTCCTCCCAGAGGAAATAAAAGAGGAGCGAAAGGGGAGGGGAGTTTGCAGGAGACAATTAGTTCGCTTAATTGGCTAGTGACTCTCCGGGATGCCTTGCCAAGTTCTGCAGATATCGGCCTGTCAGCTCTCCAAGCCAGATAAGGTCTGTGACTGTAAATCCTCCTTTGAAAGACTTTGCCGGCTGTGAATGAGCAGAATTCACTGTAAATTAACAAAAGGGGTTTTGCCGGGACAAGGACTTTGTTTCATGCTCTTGGGAAGCCTCGGTCAGAACAATGTCTCCCTTCATCCATGGTTTGAAGTTGAGGAAAGCCATAAAGGACTCTCCTCATCTCTTGGATCCCAAACCTGCCAGAACCCTCTTGCAATCTCTCTGGGTTGGTGTCTCTTGTAGATATGTTCCATTTGATAAATGCCCTGCCAGGATTAATAGCTGGAAAATGACTGAGATCTAGTCAGTGTTGTACTAAGGAGAAGAAATGGAAAATGTAGGGTGTTTCGAGTGAACGGAGTCTTCACCTACGCTGCACACTTCTTGCATCATTTGTTTTGCTGTTTTATTTCATTTATATCCCACCTTCTAGGGAGCTCCAAGTGGCATAAGAAGACGACAATGATTTCTCCTTTATATCCTCAAAAATAATACAGCCAGTGTTTTCTTCTAGTGCTTGTATGAGGACTTCTCCAGTCCAACAGTCTTAAACACGGTCCTAAACCCCAAAGTCACTTTTACAAGATGGGGCTCCACTGAGTATCCCATGAGAAGATTCTGTTTGATACATAATAAGAAACATATAAGTATTTTAAATAGATGATAAATTAATCGAGAGCCCCCCCCATCTGTCTGTCTCTCTGTCTGACTTTTATATGTGCAAAATATCTCTTCAACTACAAGCAGAGCATTCTGCTTCAGATTTACCACGACTTTTATATCGCATGTGCATATCTATCCATAAATATTTGCACCAGCAGTGTTTCCCTATTTCTACTCTTCCATCAAAGTGGGAAGTATGTCCATAGCAGCGATGGGGTTCACATTTTGTTACCACCGGTTCATCATGCGTGCTAGCTTTGCATGCACTTTTCTCACATGCGTGCCTTCCGCACATGTGCCCAGCCTCAAACTGTGCCTAAATGGGATGGCATAGAGCCGGGGTGGGTGGGCAGATCCGCCCTCAATTTCCACTCCTAGTTCGGGCAAACCGGTCCGAACTGGCTGAATACCACCTCTGGTCCATATGATACATAGCAGGCCCAATTCATTTGAAACTAACTTTAACTCTAAGAAGTCTGCCTTGGAGAGCCATTGGTGGCACCCCAGTTAGATTGCAGTATTGTCAGGCTAATTCTACCGACCGCCAGCAGTTCAATCCTGACTGGCTCAAGGTTGACTCAGCCTTCCATCCTTCAGTAAAATGAAGATTGTTGGAGGAAATATGCCAATACTAAAATTCCTAGAGTTCCTTTGAATGTATTCTCCCCCTTTTCAAACGGTTTGTGGGTAGCACTGTGGTACACCAACAATCTGACTCCCGTATATTTGATTACAGCCGCATTGCCTTCTCTTGCTTTCTTGCAGGAATCCTGTCCCAGCGGATGTTTGTCATGCTGCCCTGTGGTGGAGTTGGGGTAAGCGTCTTCTCCAGCAGGCGGGATGGTTTCCAGCAAAGATTCCTCCCCATACCTTGTTTCCCATGAAAACAGGCTGAAGTTGGTTTGTTTCTGGATTTCTAGAAAACAAAGGAGGCACAACGCTGGGAATGCACAGGGGTGGAAGGGAGAGATTTGGAAAGTTTTAGGTCCGAAAAGAGTTGCAGATGATTGGTCTGCCTATAGCTAAGTGGGCGTAGCCTAGCATCTAAAATGAACTTAGAGAATGTGATCCATTTCGTGTCATGTGAGTACAAGGTATGAATCAGAACGTGAGGCAAATCTGATATTCAATCAGAGGGTGGAGGGTTATTTCTTAGATAGATCTTTGTCACTCAGGCCAACAGGGGTCAAGGAGTGCCTACCTCTCTCCTTAATGGGTTTTTTTTAAATTATTATTATCAGCACTCCTTTCCCAGACTTTCTGATCTGGTTCTGGGTGGTTGAGGGCTGCATCTATGCTTTTTCTCCAGTTTTGTCTTGTGAAGAAGGTTCAAGGATTAGGGGGACAAACCAAAAGGGATAGGATTTATAACCTATCACTTCCATAGCAAGATTGCTGCTGGCCCCCAAACATGCTACTCAGCTCTCTCACATCTGGGAGCCTTGGTGAAGAGCAGAGGTGCTCCAAGAAACTGGAAGAGGGATTCCAGTAAACAGTCCCATCCACTTGCTCAGTTTTCAGACCGTTAAGGTCAGAAGATTCCTAGGTTGGAACAGTGTCTTGGAAACTTGTGTTGATGGGCAAAGGACATTTCCCTAAGCCCATTGGCCAGGGGAAAGGTATCCATGGACCTCCAAATCTGTTTGGACTAAGGTCCCTTAGTGAATTAGATAGAGGCTCTTTGAAGGCCAACATCAGTTAGAAGGCTCCAGTTGTCTCTAGTAAACTTCACCATGCTCTTCCCCAGATTATTGTGAAGTCACTGAGATGTGAAACCCACCAGGGTTTTCTGCGTAGGCGTGATGAGATCTGGCTGTCATATCACATACCACATGATGGCCAAGGAATTCACCTCAAGTATTTTTTTTTTGGGGGGGGGGGGAATCTTGGTAAAATGTACACACCGGCAAACAAATACATTTGGCCCATCCTAGCTAAGTCCCTTACTTTTTTTTTTCAACCTTTCTTCAGTGTGTCCTTTTCTCCAGCCATACACTGTCTTCTGCATCTAGTTCATAAGAAAACGATTTGTATCTGAGCAAATATGGGTAGTCCTCAATTTACAACAGTCCGTTTAGTGACCGCTTAAAGTTACAGCGGCGCTGGGAAAAAGTGACTCGTGACTGTTTTTTCAAACTTAGCGACCATTGCCGCATCCCCATGGTCAGGTGATCAAAATTCAAATGCGGGGATTCAAAGCCAGATTCACTTAACAACTGGGGGAACTAACTTAACAAATGCAATGCTTCCCTTAACAACCACCTTAATAGTTTAATAACTGCAGTGATTCACTTAACAACTGTGGCAAGAAAGGTCATAAAACGAAGGAACATTCACTTATCAAATGCCTCGCTTAGCAACAGAAATTGGGAAACTGGGCTCGATTGTGGTCGTAAGTTGAGGACTATCTGTAAAGAACTTGCATACAGTCGTAGAGTTTGAAGGGGACAATTATACCACTGACACTATTATCCTGACCTAGTAAATTAGATGTCAAAAGAGTTCTTGGCCAGACTTTCCATTAGCGCATGATTTGCAGCATTAAACAGACTTTGTGTGAAGAGCCTTTCACCCAGTGAGTTCTGCCTACTGTCTGATGGTATAGACAAGACCTTGGCTGTCTCTATTTAGCAAGAATAGCGCTCCGTACTGCTGGAATGGCGACGGTCTATTGCACCCCTGCTATTTCTTACCTTACCTGACATTCTGATGTTCAGTCCCAGCCTTGTTCAGAAGTGTTCCTGTGAAGGGTTGGGGGAATAGGGTTAGGTTGGAGAAAATCCCCCTGGCCCCTCCTTCTCTCTGTCTCTCGTGTCCCTCCCTCTGGGCTCTCTGCCACGTTCACTTTCGTTCATCGCCTTCTTGCGAGCCTTTTTTTTTTCTCACTCTCTTTTTTCCAGGATGCTGCCTCCCCGACCATCCCTCTTCTCCTTCTCTTAACCTTTGGCTCCCTTTCTCTTGCTCTCTGTTCCTTCTTTCTTTCCCCCTTTCCTTTGTCCTTACTGACGGGGCTTGGATCTTCTCTTCCCCCTCCCTTGCACCCGGAGAGAAAGAGAGGGAGAGGGAGTGCGCGCCTGGAGCACTAAGGCAGAAGGCAGGCTCTGCTCACACATGGAGTTGATCAGAAGAGAATCTCTGAGGTTTTCCGGCTCTTACTTTGCCGATGACGTGATCCTGATCAAACCAAGATGTTTGTTTTTGAAAAAAAAAAATCAAATAGAATCAAGAAGGTAAAAAGAACGGGTTCTTCCTGCCCCCAACTTTTTGCAACTAACTCTAGAGGTGTGGGGGGGGGGAATGTGTTGGGAAAGCTCTCCTGCATGTCGGTGTCGAAGGAACTTGTGGGAGCCCAGCAAAGTTGAAGAATTGGGGATGGGGATTGTTGTCTAGGCAGGCTGCTGCTGTTGTGGTTCACGGAGGGGCATGTGTTGCATGCCAAGGGCTGCACCATTCCGATTTGCCCTCCAAGAGAGGATGCCCATGTTAAGAGCACCGCATTTGATCAGAGAGCCCTGAAAAGATCTCCTCTCTGAAGACAAGTCTCCTTGGTCCAAAACTAGTGATGGTGTCCAGCCGTTTTTCCACTTGTTTTCTCCTACACCATCTTCCTGGGAGGCTGTATGTGTGTTTGTGTGCATATGCCATTAGTCCATACCGTGGGTTTATTGGTTGCTGTGCGTGGAAATGTAACCACAGGGCCCTTTCTCTAGACTGAACTCTTCTTTGTCTCCTCCTGGGTCCAGGTGGATAGTGACACCATTTGGAATGAGCTGCACTCCAGCAACGCTGCGCGGTGGGCAGCTGGCAGCGTGACTGAGCTGGCTTTCAAAGTGGCCAGTCGACAGCTTAAGGTAAGAGCCCTGGTGGGGCAGCAAGATAGATAGGGAGCGCCCCCTCACTCGCCTCTCGGATTTCTTAAGGCAAAAGGGCATGTGGCGATCTCAAAGGGGTGGGGGGGTGTTCCCAAAATGTATTTTTGCTAAAATGCAGAGTTGCATGAACTTCCCATGGACGTCTGTCCATTCTACTCCTCTCCCCTTTCAATGATGTTTTTGGTGTTTGAGTGCATGCACACCTTCAAGTTAGTACCGTGTTTCCCCGAAAATAAGACAGGGTCTTATTTTCTTTTGACCCCTGAAATAAGTGCTTGGCCTTATTTTCAGGGAGGTCTTATTATTTTTGAGGTGCAGGAGGCGGCGAGCATGGTCACCTCATGNGATTCACATACACAGAGCATCAAGTACATCCATCGTCATTCACCCGAACCGGATAGAACCGGCTGAATTGCACCACTGTATATATGGTGATACCTTTTAAAAAGAGCCCCTCTTTCCCACGTATGCTCACAGATAAGTCCGCCTGTGGCCAAACAGGCTTATCCACAGGCAGCGCATTTTTCATAATATTCTGTTTTAAAATTTGAAGGTCTGCTTATAGGCGAATATACTACAGGCTGAAGCCGAGAGATCACTTGCCAACCATTTGTATTTCCTTAACCGGGATGGCTGTGGGTTTGGGTTGCTGAGCTTAGCTGCTCCTTCATGATTGTCTTCCTGCTCCCACCCCCGCACAGCGCATGGCCAAATCCAGTGAGAAGCCTCGCCTGCAGCAGATCCCCTCTTCCGAAGACATGGAGGCCACGGCAGGAGAAGACCTGTATGAGCAGCCCCAGGGCCAGGGGGAGCCTCCACCATCAGGAGGTGGCAGCAAGGAAGCGGAAAGGATCTCCAGGTTGGGTCAGCAGCCTCGAGAGGAGATTGCCCTTCATCAGGTATTGGAAACAAACTGAGCAAAGAGAAGTTAAACAAACGTTTTCCTTCTTCTAAAAGGCTGCATGTGAACAAAGAGAAAGACTGCTGTCCTTCTGGCATCTTGTGGTTTGTCTTTCCTGCAGTGTTGGGAGCCTGCAACAATTGTGCGAAAATGTATACTCTTAATTTTTTGTGAGCGTTCACACACACATGCCCATCGATGCAGCTAGTCTTGGACTACAGTGAACGTGACGGAGCTAAATTTCTCTCTTTCCCAAAGAAATATTCTGCCCACATTCCTTTCATTTCCATGTTTTTCTTGGGATGAAATAAAGAGCAGGCCCTTTGCTTCCTTGCGGCGTAACAGATTTCCAATTCAACAGACTAGATTTCCATGTCAAACCATTATGCCAATGATGTCATAATACCCATGATGTCATTTCTGGCCATATATATATATCTCTTGCATAATGACAACGCATAGCTTTAACTGTCACATTTAACAGCCCTTGGCAAATAACAGATCTGCCCTCCCTACAATAGAAAAGTGGGTTATTAATGGTCATCCTACATGTATTTCTTTGAGAAGCGGGAACGTAAATCAAAAGGAAGGTAGAGTGTCTAATTTTCAAGCAGGTATAACAAAGTCTGTGTCTCTCTCATCATTATGCCCTCTTTCTGCTCAGAGGGTGATTGCTTTCTCCTTCTCCCTTCCGCACACGTGCACACAACAATAAGACAATTATAAGAGTGTGATTTGGGCTCCTGATATCAGCACCCCTAAAGCATGTTCTTCCAGTAGCCTTTGTTAGCCTTAGGCTCCATTCTGTAATTCCCTAGCAAGCCTGACCCATGATCCAGTGGTGGGATTCAACATTTTTACCACTGGTTCTGTGGGTGTGGCTTGGTGGGCGTGGTGTGGCTGGTGGGCGTGGCAGGGGAAGGATACTGCAAA